ATAGTCCTCATGCAAATTTGATGCAGCGTGTCCAACTATATTTCATGCTCATGGTTTCCCAAATGCTAGACACATATATATAAGTTACATAAGTGACAGGTAGTGTTGATAGACATGCCAAGGCCAACCGGTGATCGGGTACCTTTGGGGGACCTTACAAATACAACACATGGAGGTATATAAACTTTTACAACCTCTCTACATATTCTATATTCATATGTTTGCAACTCCTCACCAAGCTTTATTAAAGGGAATCATACCTGACCAGGGTTGGTGCCACTAGATGGAGATCCTAATGAGCAGAAGAGGTAGAGGGAGAGAGAACGGTATGCAACAATGTCTGATGAAAAGAGGAGTGAAAGAAACAAGAAACGTCTTCAAAAGGTATAAGATGAATAACCAAGAGAATGTTGATCTTGATAACAATATGGCTGCCCATTCAATAGGTATGGTGAGTTGCTAAGTATCACTTTAATTGCCATACGTGTTATAATTAATAACAATTTATACTATGTTTAAACTTGCAGATGAGAATACAACTAATGAATCAGACGAAAATAGGGACGGGCTCCATAGGCAATCAACCTAGAGTAATGGCTTCCAACAATTATTAGGTTACTTATTCTGCTAATAAAAGCTGAAATTATCATGGTGACATAGTTTGCTTATTGTATGGTTCAATTTTTATTATATGGTTATATTTGTACACGGTCGGGTACTTTTAAGCAGCATTGGTGGCACTGGTTACGTGTATGTCATTGACAGTGAGGAAGATATCAGCATTGTTCATGATGAAACGGAGACACTTTTGTATCCATTGCTTGATATTATGGTGAATCGTGCATGTGTTTGTTTATTACAATTGTGCTTAGACACCATCCTAGCAAGCGTTGATTAAGATGTCATTCCATGATATATAGGTTCTAGATATGCACCCAGTCCCATCAACCGGCTTGTCATGTGTTCAATAGAGCGTAAGCGTGATCGATCACAAAAAGGTGCAATGTCTCCTGAACAAAGGGTGCTACTGAATAAACTGAAACGTCCTCAATGTAATTTAAATAGATTGTATACATTAAATTGCATGATGATGCTATTCAAATTGAATTTTTTGAATAATATGACCCCTCAGTTTAAGTTATTTATTCAAAAACATTACCACGTGTCGGGCGCACTCGCCACCGAGCTTGCGGCTCAGAGACCACAAGTTAGGGCTAGGAGCATGGGGTTGCAAGTGTTGAGTTCACCTGCAGCTGCAAGAAAAGAGGTTTGTGACATGGAGGGTGGAGAACTTTGTTTTTCCTACAGCAGTCCCTTTTGATTTTGATGTCTCTTTTAGATATGAACTATTAGAAACAACCAATAATGTATTCGGTGTATACAATAGAAATACCTTATATTTTCAAAATTGAACATGCTCTTCTGTTGCTTACAACCGCCATTGATTGATTTCTAATTAACAAGTATCACAATATAAGAAAATTAATAGTTACAAAACTATATTTATGATGGATCAGTTGGAGTGTCATTTGTGGCATGGAAGTGGCACTTTGATACAAAAGTCACTTAAGTTCGTGATAAGAGTGTCGGGACCGAGAAAATCATAATCTTGGATTTGGACCATATCTTAACGAGGGAGTATGAGGTTTAATTGCACGATATGAATTTGTATATTTGAGTTATCTTATCGTGCGATCCGTATGTTTTTAGTAAAAAAAGTTTAGTTGATCCGTAGCAATGCACGGGCACGAACCTAGTATTCTAATTAATTATAGAAAAACATATATCTAAAGCTACAACAAAAACTTTGTACTAAAGCATACCATATTGTATGTTCACTATGTAGATCTAATCATATGAAGTCCAACAAAATTGAATTTTCTATTTTATGATTTTTTGTGATTTACTATGATTTTTCAAAGATTCAGAGGAAATAAATAAAAAAAAAAAGAAAAAACCATTGTTATTGTAGCAACCACCATCCAAAACCGTTTTTGGGGTTATTTGACCGGTTTTGGAAAGTTCAGGAGGTAGAAAATCTAGTTTTATAGTTTGAGGTGAAGTAGTACACCCTGAATAGTTGGGGGGTTATGTAGACTTTTTTCTAAAAAGTTTTATCTCTCTTTTTTAGCACATGATTTAGCATAGTTTCAGCTCCAGACTCAAGGAATTGGGTTTCCCAAAACGAAAGAAGCCATAAAAGTTATATTTTAGTGGCTTCGGTTTCTAGCTCCAAAATGGTTTCGGTTTCATCCTTTTTATCTTATAGTTTTGGTTTTAGAAGTTGTTTTTGTGTGTGCTTGTTTGGTAGGCTTTTAAGTCAGCGAAGAAGCCATGACAAAAGCCCTGCCAAAGAGGACAGTAGTTTATAGGTCAAGTAAAAGTGATAAAATAAATTATTCAGATGTCATGACGTATCTCTGGCTCTAAATCTAGAATTTCTTGCAGGTATAAATATTAAGTTTATAAAAATATCTCTTGTGACTTTTTATGACACTCTGTTAGGCCTCTTAGAGCATCTTCCATAGTATCTAAAAAACTAAGTCCTAAAATCTTCATTGGAATATTTCTAAAAATATTGAGTACGAAGGAGTGGAATACACCCCCTCAACAATTTTTTTACTCATTCGTACAAACATACTTGACGTCTCTCGTATATACTTTACCACCGACCATGGACGACATAGCTCGCCGTCGCGGTCGTCCATTCCAACACCCTAGCTTACACCTAGAATCTTCAGTGCCTGCTCTAGCTCCTAGTCTCGGATCTGAGAATAATGCCCGGAGATCCCATTCCAACGAATCCGTGATGCACCATAACTCACACTTAGGCTCCAAAACAGGATATCCACTGTCTACTCTATCTCTTAGTAATCTCATTTCTAAAAACAGTGATCAGAGATCCAATTCCAAAGAACCTCTAGGCAGAGGTAGACAGTCAGGAAACAAATAGTGTTTAGGAAAAAAAATGGATAGGGAGTTTCAATAGTCATATATCTTTCCATGTGAATGCCTCTGTTTTTCCATGCGCAGATAGTTTGGGAGCTAGGATAAGGAGCTATTGGAGTGGGGTTTTCCCATCACGACAAAAAAACAAGATTGACAGTTAAGGTTAAACGTCTCTTCACCTTATATTTTAAACCAGTGACTCATTTGGAGTTGCTTTTTCACCCCACAAATCCTCATCCTCTACTAGAAAGGTAAAATCTCTACTAAAATATGGAGGTGATTACATGCAACACAATGTAAACAATCAAACACAACTTTACCAAAACATGGCTTCACCATGCATGACAACCAAGCACTGGAGGATTGCCTAAGTTTTATGTTGTCTTGGGCTATGTTACATAATGTCTAATATATACTAAAGCTAATGCGAGCAACCAATTACACCCAAAAGGCAAATAAGGGAGATTGTCAAATTAGGGCATCGTTGGAGCCATTAAATACGAAGAAAGTAGGGGTGGAAGGGGGCACTCTTGGCACCTCAAACAACTTATGTCATCAGCAAAGTCTCTTTTTTCTCTCTCTATTTCATCCCCTTATTCTTTTTATAGAAGACTTCATAAATTCTTCTTTTTGTTGCCGGCCTTCGTCTTGAGCAAGATTTATCAATAATTTGTGTATAAAACCATGAAGAAACACTGTGGTCAAGGTATGGATGGCACAAAAAAAATATTTGTGCTTAGTGTGGATATCCAACGAAGTTTGTAAGCGTGGAGTAGGGCTAGATGCCGATTTGTTTGATCCACATCACCATCTAAGCCTAGGCATCCGATCCGAGGCGCTAGCGTCGGATAGAGCCAGCGCAGCGAGCGAGCGCCCCATTAGCGAGCCCGTGCCGTCTCGGACGTCGCTCGAGCCGCCAGACCGCCCGCGGGGCCCCCTCCCACTTTCCACATGCATCCCATGTGCAACACCCTGATCTACTTTTGAAAACATTGAGACGCAACACTTGCAACATATAAAAGAAGATAGATAAAACACTTGAACACATGCATCTGAAACACTTGCAAAAACACCTGAAAACGCTTGAAAAAACCATTGCAAACATATACAACATTCAAATAAAACACTCACAACATATTTGTGAAACATATGCAGCATACAAATAAACACACTTGCAACATACATCTGAAATATAGATGAAACATTAGGATTAGACGCTTGCAACATACATGTACAACTATTGCAACATATGCAACATCGCGATTTACTTTTGCAATATCCAGATGAAACAACATAGGCAGGCCTCCCCTTCTTACCGACGGCAGGTGGATGGGCGCGCGAAACGCGTGTAAAACAGCCTTCAATCCCATGCCTCCCCTTCCGCGACGGGCGAGGTGGATGGAGGCCATGGCTGGATGGTTGGTGAGCTTGGGAGCGTGGAGCAACGGCGGAAGGGGCCTGCTTCTTGCGCTAGAGAAGGCCGCGGCGGCCGGCCCCTGCGATGGAGAAGGCGAGCAGTGCTGTTTTTTTTTTGAGAAGCCGTGAAGCACTGCGGGCGGAGCGAAGTGGGGCAAGCAGCGCCCGGGCGGGACACCCGCTTCTCGGCATTACCGTTTCTCTAATGACATGTTTATGTCGTGTTGACATCCATTAACATATAATAATGTTATAGCACTTTTTTCTTAGAATTTTTTGATGTACTATCGAACAGGAACAAAGGAAAATGTTGTATTTGGGTCACGCCGTTATAACTTCACTGGCTTTACAAGGAAACAATACTTCATTTGTGAAACTACCCTTTCTCTTTTTTCTTTATTGATGATGCTCAATGGTGAGAGAAATATGTGAGAGAACCTATTGCTCGGGATCGATCCAACTGCCGAACTGCGATACATGAGCACAAAGAACTTTGTGGAAAAAAAACGAACATGAACATGTGATTTGCGGTAAGCCAACTAAATCCGGAAAATAGAATGAAACGGGAGGCAACAACGTGAAGGTAAGGACACTCAGTTCTCGATCAGGGATTTTCCATGAAATGTCAAGCCCCTTCACTTCAGTAGAATGCTTGGAAACTTGCATGATCCATGGCCTGTGGAAAAGAAAAGAAAAACATTCAAACCACGTGAAATTTTAAAATTTTGGCTGAGACAAACAAAGAGCATTTGTATATGTATATCCCCCACTGAACGAAGACCAATGAACAATATATGGCAGAGGAAAATGGAAGTAAGTACTGACTGGGATCGACGGTGGTCTCCACGGCGAAGCCGGCGAAGTAGCATCCGCCGTAGTCCTCGCTGAACCTGTTCCAGTGCGCGCTGAACACGTAGCTGGCGTGCGCGCTCACCGTGTCCGGCAGGAAGCACGCGCCCCCCGGCCGCACGGGGTCGCACAGCCCCGGCAAGTCGGCGCACGCCGCCGCCACCTGCGCCCTCACCGCGGTCTCGTTCACGGGCCCCTTGTCCGTCGCCACCACGCACCACAGGGGACCTGGGTACGGCCGGTCGTTGGACGCCGGCGGCAGTGGCGGGTACGACGCCAGCGACCGGAGCCCCGTGAGGTCCACCTCGTACACCGCGCTGCCGTTGGGGTAGAACAGGCCCCAGTGCCGCTCCGTGCCGGGCCCCCACTTGTGGTCCTCGTTGAACAGCGCGAACACCATCGCCGGCGCCACGCGAGCCCGCGGCCGCCGCGGCGTGCCGGCGCCGGACGCCAGGTGCCGCGCCAGGTTCCGGTTGTACGTGGCCGCGTTCCGCACGTTGGCGCCGAACTGGTCCAGGTCTCCCGCCGTCGGCCACCCGGTCTCGGCCAGCGCCAGCCCGACGCCGCAGTGGCCCGCGCGGCACATGGCGGCCACCACCGCGTCGAGCATCTGGTCCAGGAGGTTGGTGTACGACAGCCCCGTCCCGGGGTCGCGGTACACGTACCCGGCAGCCGGCTCGAGCAGCGCGTACGGCAGCGGCACCACGGTGTGGTTCGCCGACCAGGTGAAGTAGGTGTACGCGTCGACGAAGAGGTGCGAGCCGGTGCGGTCCAGGAAGGCGAGCAGCGGGCGGACGACGGAGTCCGCGATGTCGGGCCTGAACGCGCCGGCGGACGGCGGGAACACGTTCTGGCCCTCCAGCTCGTGCATGCTGAACGTGGTGCTGACCTTGACGCGGCCCATGCCGTGGCGGCGGAGCGCGCGGTGGACGTTGGCCATGGCCGGGACGAGACAGGCCCACCGGGACCTGGCGGTGGGGTCGGAGAGGACCTCGTTGCCGACGAACAGGTACCGCAAGCGCGGGTTGCCGCGGAACGGGAGCAGCGTGGCGGACACCCAGGCGTCGGCGGCGCGCTGGGAGGCCGCGAGCGACGGGATGAGCTCGTTGGGGACGCTCGGCACGAACTCCAGCCCCGAGGCGGCGGCGGCGGCGAGCATGGTGGCGTTGGCGTCGTAGAATCGGATGGCGGACGCCCCCGCCGAGCGGGCGAGCTCCAGCCCGCGCTGCGGCGGCGGGAGGTTGTCGCCCAGCGTGCCGTAGTTGACGCCCAGGATGTGCTCGGCTGTGGAAGTGGATGATGATGCTGCTACGCCCGGCGGTGTCGTCGCGGTGACGATGGCGGAGAGCACGAGGAGGAGGTGGAGCGGCGTTGCCATGGCTGAGCTCAGGCGTAGCTGTGTAGCACTGAGTGGAGTGACTAGGAAACACTTTGGGGCCTCGAATTTGATTCTAGTGTTGTCCATATTCGAACTTTCAAAATGCTTATCCAGGTTTCTAAACTTACTCATCGTTTCACATGGGGTCGAAATCATCAAAATTTAAGCATTTAATTCACCCATGCATTTCCCCCCCTTAAAATAATGGACCCATGCAACATGCATTTCGAAAGGAAAAGAGTAAGAAACACTTTGGGACCTCGAATTTGATTCTAGTGTTGTCCATATTCGAACTTTCAAAATGCTTATCCAGGTTTCTAAACTTACTCATCGTTTCACATGGGGTCGAAATCATCAAAATTGAAGTTAATTCGTCTGCGTGGCACACTAATTGTGCAATGATATGGCACCAAAATGAAGCTCACATATCAATAGCGGGGAGAGAGAGATAAGAATGGCATGTGAGCCTGTATTTTTGCTAACATGTCATTGCGCAATGAACGCGCCACTCAAACAGATCTCAACTTTTTGATCATGTGAATCTCATGTGACATAATTAGTAAGTTTAAGGATCTAAATGTAACTTTTGGAAGTTTAAGTACCTAAATGGCGTCTTGATTCCTGAACCAAGTTTAAGGATCGGCTGTGCATTTTTCAAAATGAAGGCAGTAAAATACTAAGACAGATCCACCTACTACTCTGCTAGGCCACTTGCAGATATATATATCTATTCACTATTCAGCATTGTACTTCGTTTCAAAACGGGGGCAGTAGAATACCTAGACAGATCCACCGGCTACGCCACTTGCACAGATTATCTATTCAGCGTTATATTATATACTGTATGGGTAGGAGCGACGAAAACGAAACGGAGAACACAAATCATGCACGTCAATGCCACGGTCCTAAACTATTCAAAATAACGCACAAAAGATCACAGCACAAAACTTAGCAACACAAAAGTTAATATGTCTCTCTGATAGACTGATGCCCGACTAATGTACTACATTCACACCGATCTCATTTAGGGCCTGTTTGATTCTAGAACTGGAAATCGCGCCTGGGCCATGCAGCTCACCCAGGCTGTCGATTTCCAACACCTAGGGCTGGATCGACATGTCTGGTCGAGCGCCCGAGGCCAGGTCGGGTTCCAAACGCCCCCTATGCACATCAGTCTTTTTGACAAGAAACGGGAACTCATTACCATGAATCCATAATGAAATAAAACAGTACTCGTGACAGTATATAACAAGCTTCACCCACGGAGTCAAGGTCAGGAACCATGGATGGAAGTTAAATAAATATGAGCAAGGCCAAACACCCATAGCCCTCAATGCGATTAAGTGAACGATCAGCGCTAGGATGTTTTTGGAAGTTGTCACATTCAGTAGTAGTTTTACACCTTGCGCATCAGTAGAAAGAGCCTCTGATCCAGCTCAAAGCTAGCAGCAGTGGAAGGGTCACCCCTGAGCAGCATCAGGAGACCACCGAATGATGCATAAATCTCCCTGGAAGGGGGGGAAAAAAAAGGGTACCGCATGAGAAGGACAACACCTACTTTAAAAAGAACAACTGCGTATACAAAAGAAGATTCAGTTCTACAATAATATGAAAGGTTTAAACTTTAAAGAAATCAAATGAGGCCATTTCAGGTTTAAACTTCAAACAAATCAACTGAAACCATTTTATTCCTTTCTTTTTTTTGCGACGAAAGAAGAATTATATTAGATAATAGCTGGGTATATCAACACGTTGCAAGCACTCTGGATTACACAAATATCCAAAAACTGATTTTCATCTAAATTATACCCACGCTATGAATAGCTCCAGAGACGCTTTGCACAATGGATGACCGTATAGGCAAACACTCGGCAAAAGGCTTGAGAACAGATGCACAACGAACGACGGCCAACATTCATGTAGGCGGAGTTGAGAAACTTCTTCTTTCTGGTGTCTTCCTTCTTCTTCTTTCTGCCACCGAAGAATGGGGAAGACTGATCTAAAACTTATTCTCTCTAGTTCTTTATCGTGGCCAGATCTAACCACAATAAAACGGAGAAGAGACCGGAGAAAATTATTCCATGACGGCGACACCATCTCCGCCTTGATGTCGCCGTCCGGAAATAAAAGTCTCCATGTCGTCAAACCAGTGAGGATGCTGACGTCGTAGTTATCGCCATCATCTTCAACAGAGCCGCCATGGAGAAAACGATTACACCCTGCCCTCTCGCCGTCGCCGGAGAGGAGGAAATAAATCCCCAAAACCAAGAAACTTGGCATGGATAAACCCTAACCCTAAAGACTCGATCTACTGGGAAACTTATTAAAAACGATGGATCCCCACTCCCTCTGGCCTCCGGCGATATACCGGAGGTGGGAGGGAGGGGGACCAGCGGTGGTGGAGACGGGTGGCGACGGTGACGGCGCTTGAGTCGCAATACCCTGGAAGCCTTACCAAGACATTGAAGTGACCTTGAAGGACTTTTCTATATCTATATGCAAGTAATGCTATTATCAGATAAAAATAATATGCAGATAAAATCATTATTAATTGGATATCCGAATCAAGCTCTTTTGATGTTCAAAAGTACTTTGCAGAATCAAATTCTCTCACAAGCGAGATTGTCATATGGGCTTCATCAGAATATATGGCTACAATTTCTTCAGTACCATGAATAACATTATAAGCTTTATAGTGGTTGTGTTCACTTTGATAAGGTAAAACAATGTGGAAATCCTTCAATCCTTAGTTCAGAAATCAATAGTGGATCCATGAGCTATCATATACTGGAAGAGCTCACCAATAGGATAAAAATATTAATACACTATACGTAGTAGCGTGTAACAAGTGAATCAAATACTCACATGCTAATAAAATAAATTCTAGTGCATCAAAAGGTGCAAATTGGTACATTGTTTGCTAGTTTTCAGTTTAAGGATAAGCAGAAAACCATACACTTTAGCATTTTGGCTCGAGGAGGTGTCTTCTGAGATTTTGTAAAGCTTCCCATGCATGACGTACTCATAATTGTCTGCCAGAGTTTTTCTACCAGCCTGAAAATTATATAGTTTATGTTAATTAGATCTTATCTACACACCTCATCAGCTAAAATGAAATCCTGCAACAAGGAACATTGGTGGTATCATATAGACCCAAAGCACATTGAGGATATCATATGAACCCAAGACACAGTAACTGGATGCTGCATTGCATCAGTCAATATCATTAAAATTCAAGTTGCGTGATGCAAATTTCACAAAACGGCTAAATTAATCACCTGTGTATAGTATCCAGTATCTGGAGTGCCATCCAAATTCAGAGTAGGTGCTAAAACCATGTTAAATTTCTCACCAGCATGCATAGGATAAACATCAGTAGCAACATCTAGCTGCATATACATATCTAACTGATCACTGCGTGCTTCGACACGAGAAACTGTACACATGCAAGAGAAGAACAGAACATGAGCACAAGGTCATACTAGAACAAGGCTGGCAATTGAGCATAGTTAGTTAACTCATAATATCGACAGAAGCTATATAAAGTGAAAAAGAAGTGGTGGATAGATGAATGATACGCTATACAGTGAAATATTTCAAGATAAGAACCTTTAGAAGTTTAGATAAATTTCAATGGTTGCATGCATATTATTTCGATACAGAGTGCACCTTTAGATTTTAATAGTATGTCCTACAGGAATGTACTTCGGATAGCAGAAGAAAGAGATTTTCAGGACAAAAACAATATGAAAGCGTTGTTTCAGTCAGGTTTACAAAAGACATTTATAATCATTATTACCCAGAAAAAAGTCCTTATCATTAGAAGATTCTCAAAATATGACAGCATGGATTGCAGTGTGAATATTGGGAAGGTATTTCATGATAGTTTCAACCTCCAATTACACAACAAGCACATGGTGCAACGAAATATCAGGAAAACAGCTTACAGGTATCGGAGTAAATGATCCGCGTTCTCATTATTAATGCAATTCCATTGCCTGTTATGCTTAGACTAGAAGGGGCCAAAAGTGTGTCTGAAGCCTTTTCCCCCTCCTCTAACAGAACCATGAGCATCCAGATGGTGAAATCTTACTAAACCATGAGCGATACTGAATTACTGATATGAGCAAGGTAAACTAAACTAAGAAATCATCAGTTGTAATTGTCATTACACTATTACCACAGCTACACTCCATGCTATAACACAGTACACAGTACTAAAAAAAGGAGGAACTCTTGCTGCTCATTCAGAAGTTACCTTTGTTATTGGTTCAGATTTCAGAAAGAAAGAATTTACCTCTATCAAACTTTTTGCCATCAGGGTCGAGTCTAGTGACGACGAAGGTGTCCTCGAAGAGATGCTCAGACATTTCTCCTGGATAAAAAGGAGAGTGACTGCATAAACCTTCAGCTGACTTGACAGTCAGTAAACTAGTCCGTGAACCAAAATCAGGCAAATAAGACGCGAAATCAGACTATGAGCTACTAATCACGCATCAATCTTCAATCGAGACAGTGGAAGCGAGCGGTCCACGCCGACAAAAGCGGACGGCCTTGTGCCTCCTCCCAGGGGCGGATCCAGTAAAGGGACATGGGTGTACACATGTACACCCAATAATTTTTGCAAAAACTTCGAAGTTAGGAGGCTTGTCAAATAGCTAAATAGCTTTAGGTTAGAGTTTCGGTGCTCAGCTTCGCACAGCATAAGAGGAGGGAAGAGAAGGTGTGGGAGTACCTGGTGGGTGCTCGTCGCCGGCGAAGAGACCAACGAAAGCCTCAGCACCTGGCCTAGGGCGGCGGCGGCCCAACAGTCGTCTGAGAGCGAGAGGGTAGCGAGAGAGAGACAGAACCGAGGAGGGAAGAGGGGATGCAGCGGACGGAAGGGGGGAATGCAGGTTATGGCTTGTTGTGGGCCGTTTTTTCAGTTTCTTTGAAAATTTCTTTTTTTTATTTTTCTTTCCCTCCCTTTTAATTTTTTATTCTCGTTGATTTCATATCTATTCTCTTTGTTGGACACTATCAATGGCTAGTACAACATTTTTGTTTTAAATAACATAATAGAAATTTCATATCTATTCTCTTCATTGGACACTACCACGGGCTAGCAAATATATAGTACATTGTAAATAAGTAAATGAAACTTTTTTTATATTTTATTAAGGTTGAATATTTTTCTATTGAATCTAGAAGCCATTTTCAGAAGACATATACCAATTTCACAAACCAAGAAGCCATAACATCTTTCTAAAATAAAAACAATTTTCTCTATAAATAGGTGTTGGTCGGCTCTAGCTCACTCTCTTTGATATTTTGATCATTGATACATCCTTGCGAGCTAAGCTGAATACCTCCCACTCATCTCCTTTATTGATTCATCATCTTTGTGAGATTAGGAGTGATTCTAGTGTATTTGCTTAGAGTTTGAGCATCTAGTGGCACTAGTGATCACGTGAGCCACGTGATTTCTTGTTACTCTTGGTGGTTGCTGTCACTTAGACGACACAACGGGGGCTAATTTGTTGGTAAACAAGTGAACCTCGGGATAAAAATTACAGTGTCATCTTCTTTCTGTTGGTTTGCGATCTCCATAAATAAGCTTGTATGTACTTTCATATATATTGTGCTTGTGTAGTTGCTCTTATAATTAGTTAGCTTGTTACTTTTCTTGCTTGTGCAGCATAGAAGTAGCTTATTTGCGTAACTAATTGGCTTGAGTAGCCTTGTTAGTTACATCGCTTAGTTTGTGTAGCTAAGTAATTTGAACTCTCTAGTTTATCTTGTGTAGCTTTGTCATTGAGCATTGCTAGTGAGTTTAGCTTTGTGCGCTTTTGCATCACTAGCTGTGTAGGAGCTCCCCTGGTTGCTTAAAGTACTAGTTGCATAGGTTTATGTGCCTTTTGCAAGCTAGAATTGTTAGGTGAGCTCTAACTAGTCCGGCACATTTGTTACCTAATTAAGTTTTTTTGTAAGGTGCTTGAACTTAGATAGATATGTGTAGTCTTGGCTAGACCATTTAGTTTAAATTTCGCATTTATTTCGGTTAGCCATAGCGCTTAAGTTTTAAAAAGAACTATTCACCCCTCTAGTCCGTCATCTCGACCCTACAGCCATCTGCAAACACCCTCGCCAAACATGGCTTTGAAGACCGCAAAATCCGCTCGCCGCTGACGACGAGATCTAGTATGCACTGAAAGAACATAAGCTAGAGGAATCATGTAAGGAACATATGCTTACAATAGTCAAAGATGGAGAGTTCAGGGGGCGTCTATTTGTAAGAAAAATTTAGAGCATCTCCGATAAGCTATTTATATCTTTTCTAATTTATAGAAATATAGATTTTTGATAAAAAAATACCCTCCAATAATTTTTTAAATTGAATATTCAAATATAGATATCCTCTATTCCGGATTTTTAGTAGTCAAAGATGGAGAGCGAGATGATTTTCTAGACTGTGCACAAGATATAGAAAAACTGTTGGAGGGTACAAAGATATAGAAATCGATTTTTAATCAAATGACTCTCTAAATGATGATTTAGAGGATAAATTTGAGAAAGGCTCTTGGAGATGCTCTTACAAGCTTAAATACATTTTTCGTGGTTTAAAAATCTTGTCAACTTGACCTACTTTTTTAATAGAAAAGTATTTAAAACGTCTTGAGAACCACTTCTATCCGAGACAGTAATGTAATTTTTTGTTGCAAAAACCTGTCAGGTATTGACCTACTTTTTAAATAGAAAAGTATTAAAAACGTCTTGAGAACCACTTCTATCCAAGACAGTAATGTATTTTTTTGTTGCGAGACCCTAACCACTTCTATCCGAGACATTAATGTTTTTTTTTTTGTTGTGAGACCCTACCCTTGTAAGCACCTCCGAAGAAGGCGTTGTCGACGGGCACGTCGCATACTACTAAAAGAATAGTTTCAGAAAAATGCTAGCACCCGTGTCAAATTAGGACTTGAACCCGGTTGGGCAGGTTCTACCATAAGGAACCCAACCAAACGCTGAGTTCACATACAGTAACGTAGTTTAAACGGATTTGATAGTTGAGATGATAAGATGTACTATCTTGGAGCATGAGGAGAAAATCAAACGATGATAATGATTCGAGGAGGTAAACCAGATTATTTTTTCTAGTGAAAAGTGATGAAACAAAAAATTGAGGGACCATGAGAAAAAGGAAAAAAACGGACGAGGTAAAAAATCATCATGTCTTAACCCATCAAAGAACTGGAGACCTTAGTTTGTAACACGACGTGATTACGAACTACACCACCCAAATAATTTTGAATGAATTCGTTCTTGTCTAATTCTATCGATGCTATGAATATTAAAAAAAAAATCTATCGATGTTATGTGCAGCACTCCCGTAGTAGTAGTAATTTCGAAGGCCTTTCTTCTAGAAGAATATAGAATAGAATACGCGGCAGCATATTACTTCATTGCGGCGTTTATTTATATTTATTTCTTGATCCTGACTTGCACGGAATCGCCATGGAGGCCACGCCTTTTCTCTCCGTGTCTTGCTGAAGAAGGAAGACTGAGAGAAAGGGTTCAATTTCATAGATTTTCGATTTGTCACATTTGGAAATGTGAAAATCGTGTAACTGAAATAATGTTATCCATGTGTCGATCTCAATAGCCACTAGACGTGTCTTTTCTATACAAGGGAAGCTACGATATATAGGAGCCCTAAAAGCTCGAGGGAAAGATGGCAATGACTTACCTGAATCCTAAAGTGAATACAAAGGTCATGTTCGCTTATCTTATGAGCCGTACTATTTCAGCGAATGAATCGTGTTTTTCTCTCACAATAAATCAGCGAGCATTACTTTCGGCCATGGTTTTTCAGCAAAACGAACAGGGCCTGAAGTTTCTTCTTTCCCATACGACAATTTTGGGCTTCCTCGATAGTTGATTCCCTTTCTCTGTTAAAAAACATATCATAAAGAAACCAGTTTCAGGTACTAAATAATTTCTCATACAGTAGACAATTTTCCACAAAGAATCACTTTCAAGTAGAACTCTGAGTGTTTGATATACCTTGCGATTTCCATGTAAGTGTTTTTTCGTCATGTTCTGCAGCACTACTTTAGCGAGCAATACTTTTCAGCGAATAAATAGTATTTTTCTCTCATAATAAATCAGCATAAGCCAAATTTCAACGAAACAAACATATGCGTGATGTTTGAAAAAAATAAAATTGCCACAGAGTTTGTACCACCCAAACGTTTCGTCCCTGACTACTTGATCACTTTCAAGTAGAACTCTAAATACCTTGGGATTTCTCTATGATTTTTTTTAAAATCAGAGTATAATATAAATATACAAATACATAATAAAATTGCTACGGAGTTTCTACCACCCAAACGTGTCCCTGCTCCCTGACTACCTGATCCTTTCTCCAAACATTTCATTCGACTTTCAAACAACCCAACTTTGATTTGTGTAGCAAAACGGGAAGGGATTTGGATATATCCTAGTTACCTTGTATATGCCATTTAAAAAGCGCAGTTTATAAATAATCTAAATGAAAGATTATTGCATGCCATAACGGGTAGAAACTTGCTTCTCGAATCTTGACCACGTGTAACGCCTCATTTGGATACTCCGGATTTTGAGAATCCGGATAGAAAAAAATCTCACAATTCTAGATTTCCATCCAAACCGCTGGATTTTATAGAAATTTTAACTCATAGATTTTTAGAACCTTGGAATCTGATAAAATTGTTGGATCGGCACATAATCCTCTGTCTATGCAGTCATACAGGGGATGTGCCTGGTTTATGCGTTCTCGTCGGCCTGTTCGGTTGGCTGGTTCGATTCGTTCCTGACTTGGTTTGGTGAAAGAAAAATATTATTCCGACTAAAAATTTACGACTATTTACGATAAACCACAACAAAAGAAGGCTGAGGTCGCCAAACAAACACGCCCGGACGCTCACGCAAACCAGCAGCGGTGGTGTGGTGTGTGTGTGCGAAGAATCCAACGGGAGGCGTACCGGGTCAAGTTTTCAAACCTGCTACTGTTTTCAAACCAGCAAGCCCCCCGAACGCGAAAAGTTAGGCGTACGCGTACCACGGTAGTTGTACCTAACGGCAGCAGCGCGGGAGCCCGACGCCGTTACGCCCCCTGCCCCGCGCTCGCGGCCCCGGCCGAAATGACGAGCTTGCCCTCCCAGCGCTTATCCACTCGCGCCCTCGACAGCCACAACCCTCCCGGCCCCCGTCGTAATTCGGCCCCGACCCCCGGGGGCAGCGCGGTAATCTCGGCCCGCGCCCGTCCCCACCTGCGCCTCGCCGCCCATATCTTCTCGTCTCGTCTCCTCTTTTGCCCTCCCCCAATTTCTCGCGGCGTCGCCCCGTCCAAAATATCGCCCTGCGATCCCCTACCTCGCCGACTGGCTCCCCCTCCACCTCGCCGCCGGGCAGCGGAGACCCCTCCGGGACGGGATCGGGTTCCCCTTCCTGGTAAGGATACCCTGCCCTGCCTCCCTCGGTTCGTGTCGTTGGATTGCTCCTAGTCCTGCTCTCCTGGCAATTTCGTTGTGAATTTGCTCTGCTCGGTGCAAGTCGGAGTGCCAATTGCGGGTTCGATTGCCCTCCATTTTTCCTCGGGGGTTTAATCGCCCCGCCATTCCCCGTTAGGTAGCCCCTGTCTCAAGCAATCGATTCAGGACCCGCATTCCCCACGACGATTTCCCCCCACGTGCTCTCTAGACATTTTATCTATCTCAACCAATTTTTTTTTCTTTCGATCAATTATCACAACCAATTACGTCGTGCGACGGACGGGTGTGGTGTTATTATCTGTTCGCGAATCGCGGCGTCGGTTCGTCACGGATTCGAATTCGAATCTTCTAGAGGGGAAGAAGAAGATCTCCGCGCCGTGTAGCCGCACTACCGGCCGGTCTGTGACGCGTTAGGTTCGTTTGTACTCTTGTACGCATGAGTCACCACTTTTTTTCTTTACTTTGTTTGATAGCTGTTACTGTTCGATCACCTTTTGCATTGTTCACGTGCTTGGCGTGCTTGGTACTTTGCCGCATGTAGACACAGAGACGATGCATGTCGGGTAAATTGCACATGCTCATGCTTCTATCCTTTCTCCCCCTCTTGATCGATTTGGATCTTAACCGGACCTTGTTTAAATGTTGTTTTACCATGCAATTGAACTCACTCAGGGTATACGGTTAATAAGGCCAAAATATACCAAGTTGATTGCCGTTTCTGTCGAGTATACTTGCAACTGAATTGAATGTGGAAAGTGACCTGTTTCCATAGGTCCTTTATAGCTGTTAGGCTTTGTTTTGCACGGTACAACTACTTTTCAGTGCACGAAATGAGAAACCGATGCATATCTTCCTTATGGTTTGTTTGCTTAGTTTTTGTGTCCCCATGGTTTGTTTACTTGGTTCCTTTGTGGAGGGTAATATTATGTTCAAGTACCAAGTATTGAATCAAAGAATTCCTTTACTCTTCCATTGCAGATTTTTCCATGCACGTTAGGATAAAAATGCTTTGGTCTGAAACCTATCTGCTCTGGCCAATGATGGTGTCAGCCAACATGTATCAGCGATGACGATCTGCCGCTGAAGCTTGCTCAAGCTGCAATAAAGCATGACGGTTGTGCACATAATGATGCTTAATCATTCATGCTGCTATGCCCTCAAGTGGAACTTCCTTCTTCTGATGCAACCGTATATAGGTGGACCTAGTTTTGAGGTGGCTGTGATGAGTTTTGAAGGCGGCGAGGGATCTTTGCTGCAGAGTTCTATTTGTTCTCAGTGATTCTTGGCAAACGCTCTTTGGTTACGTTAATAATCATGGAAAGGTAAGTAGTAAATCCTCTTTTCACATTTTACTTTAGATGGTCTGGAAGGTTAATTTGAACTTGCCTTCCTATTTCTTGCAGGTACAAATTGTTACGGGAGATAGGTGATGGAACCTGTGGGAATGTTTTTATGGCTTATAATGTAGAAACTAATAAAATTGTAAGTGCAATGGCTCACCTATTGAAACATTTTGCTGTCATATTCAATGTATCAAATCGAAATCTTCTAGCATTGTTCTTCCAAGAATTTATGTACCCGATTTGTGTACGCACGATTTTACTGGTTCAATTTCAGCAACAGCATATTATACCCTTTTGTCTATTTCACTGAAAGAGCTGCTATTATGAACGTTAGCTGGCATCTGCAGTATTTACACCAACTAACTTGTTCTCTTTGCTCCATCCAGGTTGCCGTTAAAAAAATGAAGAGAAAGTTTTTCCAATGGGAAGAATGCGTTAGTCTTCGAGAAGTGAAGGTACATTCCGTTTTGTCAAACTGGATGAATCACATACGTATTCAGAAGATACTGTCTTGCAACTTTGTTTTCTTAAAAAAGAACTATCCTTCTGCAGGCTCTTCAGAAACTAATTCACCCTAACATTGTGAAGCTGAAGGAGGTGACGATGGAAAATCATGAGCTGTTCTTCATCTTTGAACACATGGTTTGTTGCTATTTCTGGCATGTTTTTTACCATATTTTTGTTATAAATAAAAGGAAGAGGAAAAAAAACTAATTTACCATGCTATTCCCTCAAAGGCACACATTACTGAGATGTCAAATTTTTTTTATTGTTAACATGAGAACGACACTAAACACTAAACGTACTAAATTGTCATTGTACTTTGGGGTTGTATTAGCCACAAAATCAGTTCACCTATGTTTCTTCATTAAATGAGTGAACCACTACTATTTCCTTATATTTGTGATGTATTATGCTCACTTAGTGAGAGGTGTATACTTCTTTCAGGTGAAGCATTGGGTTTTCCTAAGCTGCTTTCTTACTTGCACCTAAATGTTCTTTATGTAGTTTGTCCCTTGCTGAAATGTCAGCTGATTTTTCTTTTCAGGAGTGTAATTTATATGATGTCATGAGGGAAAGGCAAGTTCCTTTCCCTGAAGGGGATATACGGAACTTTATGGTCCAAATACTGCAAGGTCTTGCATATATGCATAATAATGGGTATTTCCACCGTGATTTGAAACCTGGTAATGTGGCTTCTTGATATTACATTGGAATTATCTTGTCTTTGTTCCTGTTAAAATAATTAGTTTTGCCCCATCTATTTGCTTAGAGAATTTGTTGGTGACAAATGGTATTGTTAAAATTGCTGACTTTGGGTTGGCTAGAGAAGTATCTTCCAATCCTCCTTACACTGATTATGTTTCCACCAGATGGTGAGTTCGTGAAATATGAAATTTGTTTATATATATAACAATATACTATGCAACTAAAGCCTCAAGATCATCTATATTCTTTAGGTATCGGGCTCCAGAGGTTCTACTGCAATCTTCAGCTTATACACCTGCTATTGGTAATCCTGGTGCCCTTGTCCTGCCTTTTGGTGTGCTATTAACCTTTTACTTTCTTGTTATGTATAGCCTACTCTATTTCCAATACCATTACACATAATGCATGGAAATGATTCTTCTTATGCTGCAAAAGGTCACTAGAAAAAGATTTGTTGTATTCTGCAAGCCATTAGTTTGTCATGCTTTATAGTTTCTCATACTATGATTATATCCAATCATTAGTACACCACATAGTTCCATCTCAACAACGTGTTCTTTTCTTGAAATGCATAACTTTTCTCTTTGTGGCTTTTAGCTTGTGATATCACCATTAATAGCTGTGCGCTTTTGCAGACATGTGGGCGGTTGGTGCTATTTTGGCTGAGCTTTTTACACTGTCCCCTCTTTTTCCTGGTGAAAGGTAATATTGCAGTGATGAATTTTGTGGACGATCACTATATTGCTTCAGCAGTTATCATGTATTAATTCTAACAGGGCCTTAGCGCATGTATGATACCTGTTTAGCGCATGTATGATACCTGTTTTGTTATGCTGATGTGAACTTTAGTTTTTGCACTATAGGTGATAGGTGATAATGTTTTATTTTCAGTAATCAACTTTAGGTCTGCTGAACTAAAACTTCTAATGCACAAGTATATTTGTGTGTTGTCTTAATGGGTATATATAGCTCACCACTAGCCTGGAACCTCACTCTACACTGTCTGCTATGCTGTGCCTACTATTTTAAACTTTAATATAAAGGCCTCACATCTGCAACTGTGTTTGGCTGATGCCTTACTTCATACATGTATACAAGCAACCTTATATGATTGATGCCGTTGAAGTATTAGAGCTTATAAGTTAGTAAAGCGTGCACTGAAACATTTAAACAACATTTGCAATATTTTTACCATTGATATTGTGTGATTTTACATTGCTTCTTTTGTTTTTTAACAGTGAGACAGATCAGCTTTACAAAATATGCACTGTGCTTGGGACCCCAGATTGCACTATCTGGCCAGAGGGAATGAACCTGCCTCGTTCATGTAGCTTTAAGTTTTTTCAGGTGAAATTGAGTTCCATCTGGAGTCATTGGATTAAATGTTTCCAGTCCCTTGGCTTGATTGTTTTTCCTTTCTGACAGATTCCTCCAAGAAACTTATGGGAGCTCATTCCTAATGCTTCTTTGGAAGCAATTGACTTGATCCAGGTACATCTATAGACTGCTATGCTGTTTGGATATGAAACAAAGTTCTGGGTTTATCCAAGTACTAATTCCACACCTTTTATGCTGTAGATATATCTATGTTTTGTTGCTTTACTTTATTTGTCCATTGGCAATTCTCAATATTAACATGGGTATCATTTTGCTTCGTTTTGAAAGCAACTTTGTTCCTGGGATCCACGAAGGAGGCCAACTGCTGAGCAAGCATTACAACATCCCTTCTTTAATGTACTGATTTACTCGTTGAGTTGTAATTTGGGGTACCTTTTTGTTCCATTGAGTGTGCCTGACTCTTGTGAGTTTTCTAGGTGTGCAACTGGGTACCAAGACCTGTCCATGATGCTTCCCATGCAAAAACAGAAGAACCTAGTGAGTCTTTTATGTAAACTATGTTCATGACATATCTTTGACTTTTTGTACATATTTGGACTGAGGTCTTTCTACAACTTTAACAGAAGCGCATCCAAGATTGGAACTGAACCTGTGGGATTTCAGCACTGAACCTGATGAATGTTTCCTTGATTTAACTCTCAGTCTAAAGCCAAGCTTTCCTGGAACAGGTGCATGAATGTTTTATCCCTGTAAACTTCATCCATGGTTTTAATCCATTGTTTGATATTGGTCAGAGTAGCCTTGTGAGGTTCAAGAAATAGTCATAGTTGATCTTGTCATCTTGCCACCTGTTGCGTGCTGTTTTACATTGCTACCTACTCTTTTGTTTTGCAGACCTTGCTAACCATGTTCCACGACGTACAGAAGAGGTGAGATGTTATTAGTGTTTGTGTAAACGGTTTCATTTTATAATGCAATGGGTGTCATTTTGATATTTGCTACTTTGACATGCAGGAACTTCTACTCTTCTCAGGATTTGAGAATACCCCTGTGAAGTCCGGTATGTTCCCTGCGCTAATTTGTTGTTTCTTTTTGGAATTGTTTTTGCTCTTCCTTGCCACAGCAAAATTTGAAGCATGGTATCACGTTTGTTGACCCTGAAAGGGGCTAACAAATGCGGTAACTAGTATTATTGACATAATATTTGCCGTGTGTTGGACTGAGCGAGCTTAAGCACTAGTATTTAGATGCCATTTTTGGTTAAGTTGACAAGTGTTGCTTCTCTGTAACTGTAAGCAGGTTTTTGGCCTCTGGTGCCATCTGATCGTCCCGTTGGTGATGTTCCGGTCATACCATCCTGGCAGCAGGCGTATATGGTTGACAGGTGAGCATGGGCGCATCTAGCATTCGCCCTTTGCAACACTTTGAAAGTATTATGTACGAGGATTATCCAATAACAAGCACTGTGTCGTGTGTGTGCAGCCAAGCCGCATTGCCAGGATTTTCTGGCTCTCCGTTCGGCCTGTCGTTGCAGCCGAACCTGTTGGAGAACCATTCGCTAGCACCAATCCGGCAGGTGAATTTCTTCTGACGGAGACAGGATTAACAGATTGAGCATTCATACGATTCTTGCGTTCTTCTTGATACGTCCAGCTTCTCGCTGTATACACACTAGCTTGACTCGAATAAGTGGCGGCAGGCAGTAGAGGAAATGTATATACAGTTCGTAGCTCTTGATCTCTTCTTTTTTTTTCCCTTCACCACCTTTTTTTTTTCGTCTGGTCGTATTCCACATCACCCCCTATGTAAATAACGGCATGGACATCTCTCTCCCAAAAGAAACAATTTTGTATGAGCGATGTTGCAGTGATGTGGGTGAGCACCGAGTTGCTGAGCATGGTATGTGTATCAGTGTATGTGTATGTATGTAGTAGGATGTAGGAATGTACTCCTAGGATGGAGTACTACGCCGGCTGCTGTGGTGCTTGCTGTTACAGTAATCACGAGATATTTGGCCGGGGCCGAGAGAATGTCATGTGCGGACTCTAGAGTCTGGATAGAGTTTAATAATGTGGGATATGACCTGACAGTTTTTGATATTGTTGTCACGGCGTGGCCAGAGACACATGCGGCCTGAGCAACAGGACGGTGGCGGTGTGGTGGCGGTGGCGGTGGCGGAGGGGCTGCAACTTCCGCTTGCAAGTTGCAAGCAAGCGGAGTCGCAGGGCGTGGGCGCCTGACGGGGGTGACTCGCCGTCGCCGGAAACCTTTGGCCGGCTGGCCTGGCCCTGGAGCTGTCAGCCGTCGGCGGAAAGCCTGTAAACCCATTGCAGTAAACGGGCGCGTGCCATACCGCTTGGTTGCGTAGTGCGAGCTCAGCTCACCGCCGCTCAGGCGCTGACTGCCAAGCAAGGTGGAAAGTTTCCCAGTACCCCCACGCTGGGCTCAAACAGTGTGTTCGTGCGCGCGCGCTCGTGTCCTGTTCCTGTATGGCTGTATGGCACGGCGCGGCAGTGGGGGGCAAGAGCAACGGCCGTCGTTGGTGTCGTGTGGTGTGGTCTGGTCTGGTCTGTCTCCGTTGCACTGTTGAGCGGCCGCCGTCCGGGGCGGAGGCTGCCAGAGCAAGTGCAAGAAAGCCCCGAGCAGTGGGCATCACATGGCCGAGCGACGCGCTGGCTGGCACTGGTGGGGTGGCACACCAGACCGAAGATGCTACTGTACGAGTACGACGCTCAGCAGCTCTGGCGGCCTCAAGGCTATAGGATGGATTGGATTGGAATCGGATCCACGAGGTGAGGTGAGCTGGCACGAGAATACGCTCACACAGTCACACGCGCGCACGCACGGACGCGGAGGCTGGAGGGCAGGAGGGGCAAAGCCAGTGCCTTGCCCTTGCCCCCGACTTGTGTTTGTGTTTCTGAGCTGGCATTGCCAGTCTGCCTGCCGTGCGCCATGCGCCGTGCCGTCCCAAGGGCCTGAACAAAGTCTGTGTTTAGCCTGAAACAAATTTTTGACATCTGGATGTTTTGGAACCTGGGTTTTGATCGGGCCACCCACCTGCGAGATGAATTTAGCCTAATTAATCCATCCGACTAGAAGTTGTGGCTAATCTGCTTAAAAATTTTCAAGCAGCAGTTGCGCTAGCACCTGCAGCGAGAAAAATTGATGTGAGTTTAAGAGAAAACGGCCAAAGTTGACGTCGGAACCTACGTGTCGAGCCAGGGGGCCACCCACCGGTAAAGCCGACTCGTTGTCTACTGCAACAAGCAGCAGTTGCGCTAGCACCTGCAGCGAGAGTGATGAGTGAAGAACGGGCTCGAGTGAATGCGTGCTATCTCTCAAAGTATTAATGAGCCTATTGCATGAGGGTATTTTTCATGTTCGCTTAGTTTATAGGTCGTACTTTTTCAATTAACTAACAGTATTTTTCTCTCATATAAAATCAATTAATAGTATTTTCAGTCATGTCTTATCAGCCAAGTGAATAGGATAATAAAATATACGATATTATTGCAAGATTGCTTGGTACAGTACTTGATGGCACAGTAGTAGCAGTAACTACTGTACCGGGCTATCAACTACTGTCGTCCACTGTTCCAATTCTGAGTAGGTCTAAGCCCTTCTTCACTCCTGCCAAATTACAAGTGCACAGGCATAGCAGTTCTCCACTTTTTTTTATACTAGTACTAGTACTAGTACCTTTTTCCCTTTCTAACCACCACCTTTTACGAGTGTGACACAGCAAAATCTCCGAGGAGCCTGCGTGAAAAAACACGATGATTTGTTGATCCCGTTCCCGTGGTAGGCCACTGCCTCTCTTCTCTCTCTAACTCCAGGAGAGCCACCAAAACATTTGTTCAATGCGGTCTGGCACTGAAAGCTCTGCTTCGCATCGGAAAAGATTAAACCGAAAATAGTTGCCTAGTTGGGTAGAAATCAGCGGGCCGATCAAGCTTTGTTAACCGCCACACGCCAATTACCAAATATAAACGAAAGCGCTGGCATAAGCGTCTCTCTCCTCTAAAAATTTACGTCTCTAACTCCAGGACAGCCAGTAAACACGTGTTCAATGCGGTCTGGGACTGAAAGCTCTGCTTCGCATCGCACCGTAGTAGTACCCTTTGACTAGTACCAGCGGGCCGATCGAGCTTTGTTAACCTCCACACGCATATACATCCCCTCGGCACGTTTGCGGTGGCATGCATGCAAGCATCATTCGTCTCTCTAATCATCGCCGTCGTGCTGTACAGTTCATATCGACACTTCGATTTGGGCTATAATTTTGCACAAAAAGCGTGTCACGTCATATCACGCGCTTATTGCATGCGTACGCATGCATGCCCATTCCGTTTATTTATATTTATATTACGTATTTGCCGAGATTCAATCAACCAATATTTATATTCTATATTTGCCAAAATTTAAATCATGGCGTGCATGCACGTATTTATTTATATTTATATTTATAAATGAGAAACAAAAAAAAAATCTAAGATGGTTGCCACTCATGAGGTACCACCGTACCAGCGACCCTGCTGTTCGTGTACTGGGAAAGTTCAGTAGCCAAAGATATTATTTCCTTTCTGGAGTAAATGGGAAGGCAGAATATATATCGCATATACATAAGTAATATAACCCAAAGATACTCACTCTGCTTGGCTTCACTTACAACTCGTTTCCTTTACGGTTTAGCATTGCTCACCTCGCTAGAGTGTAGGATGAAATAGTGGATCTTCTACGTGTTCCGTGACCAACAAAGACATATTCCCTCCGTTTTATAAGGCATATTAGGATTCAGAAAAAAAAAGTCAAGTGTGCTTTGACCATCATCTAATCTTACATTAAGTCATCAATTGCTTTATCAACTTGTATTAAGATGTACATTAAGCATGAATATATTGGTATTGTTTTCCTGTTCAATTTAAGTAATTATTGGTCATGTTTATAAGTCTTGTCCTTTTTCGAATCATAATACATCCTATCTAAAACGGAAGGAGTTACGTGGTTTCGCATCTTGAGTCACACATGTGAATAGTGCGCGGGTTGCATGTGGGACTCAAATGGGCCGTAACGACTTGCACCTATTCACATGGTGATTCTCTGTTGTTTCTGTTTGCGCAAGGGTCCCTTACAACTCAAATTTACAAGGATGGCGAATGATTGCATTCTTATCTGTTTTTTTTGGATTTTTCCATCCACTTTTAAAGACATTAGCATGGCTGGCCACACGGCAGCACCTAAACACACACGTGATTTGTTCTAGCACCACAACGATTGCTTGGTTCCTAGCTACAAAATTTCACATAGCAAAATGCGACTGCGCCACAAAAATCACAGCTCCAATTTGGATAGTCATAATATGTAGGCAGCCACAAGAAATTACAATTACAATGCAAATGCGCTAATTACAATACAAATGACCAACGTTGTGGCTGATAAGATACCCTAGCAGTAGTAAGGAAATTGGGAAGTAGTGAATTTTGATCCTATGACCACCACACCGTGGGGCGACACACGTTGTGGCCGATAACCAATACCCATAGCAGTAGTAAGGAAATTGGGAAGCTAGTAGGGGGGAATTGGGGATCCTATGCATCAAAAGGGGGCAGGAAGCATGAAGCTAACCGTGGGGCGACACATGACTAGATAGATAGATGAACAAAAAAATAAAATAAAACAAAACCGGAAAATAACAGGACCATAGGTTTGGGTTGGGTAGCCAAAGCCCAAAGCCAGGCAAGCCCACCCAGAAGCAGGCAGGCAGGCAGACCGCAGACCAGACCGGACCAGCGGCTGGGTGGGTGGGCCCCGGTCCCGGCATCCTCCATCTTCGGCCGTGCTATATAACCCCCACCCGGGTGTCCTCGCTCCGGTTTCCTCCCCTGTTCCCCTCTCCTCGCCTCGGAGTGCTCCAATCCTCCTCTTCTTCGCCCTACCCCACCTCCCTCCTCCTCAACCCTACTCCGACGCGACGCCACGACACAGCAGCGGGCGCAGGGAGCAAACGAGAACTAAAACGAGGGAGATCGCGGCGCCCGATTCGGTAGCGGTCGCGCGTGGGGCCGGATTGGATTGGATCCTCGGATCCCCCGCGCGCGGAGGGGAATTCCGGTCCCAGATCCCCGCGATTCCGGCGCCGGCGGCGGGCATGAGAGGCCGGAGGGCATGCCTGTGGTGGCCCCTGGCGCGAAACGAGTGAGCCGGCGGCGGCAGCGGCAGCACCAGCACCAGCGGCGGCGGGTGGTGGAGGAGGACCTGTGGCAGAGGCCTGAGAGGAGCACTCGGCAAGGAGGAGGAGGCGGCGGCGGCGGCGGCGGCGGTGGTCGGGGTGGGTGATCCGAGGCCCGAGGCGGCCGTGCCATGTCTCGCTGCTTCCCGTTTCCGCCACCAGGATATGAGAAGACCGCGCGCCCCGACGCCCAGCTAGCCTCCCACCTGCAGCAGCAGCAGCTTGACAAGGTGGAACAACACCCCCGCACTCCTCCTGCACCCCGCACCCCGCCTTGCCCTGGCTGGTTCGCTAGCTCGTTCACTCATCGATCGCCCGGCACACTCGTGGAACTGACTATCTCTCATAGGATGGACTGACTTTGGCGTATTAGGATTGTGCTTAAATGATTTTTTTTGGTCTCGGACTTGGCTCACATTCTATTGGGGGCCACGGAGCTAGTGCAGGTTGGTTAGGGTTCCTGTCTGAGAAATTCTAGCAGTGTTTGAGCTCCCGTAGTCGAGATCGCGGGCGTTACAGGATCCACGAGGCTTTCTATTGGTATTCTTTTTGGTTTGGCGATTGGGGGAAACTAGGAAAGCGTCAAGTCTTGCTGAATCAGTATTTGCTCTTTTTCCTAAATAAAAGTGCTGAATCAGTATTTGCTCTTTTTCCTAAATAAAAGGGCTGTCCAGAGTTAGCGGAAGGCGGTTAGGGCCTCCCGTGTGCAAGACTTTAGTAGCGTTAGGCGTTACAGGATGCGCAATGCGTTACTTGGGGGATCCTTTTTGGCTGGTTCAGTGATTAAGATAGACTTGGAAAGAGTTTGTTTTGCTGAATTAATATATTCAATACTTAACTAAGGAGTGTCCCTGTTTACGTGAGATGCATAACTAGGGATGCACGTGGGACAAAGTTCGATGTTTCATCTGGGTGGACCAATGAAAAAAATTACTGGTGTGGGATGCATTAGGATTGTGTTTACATGATTTCATTTAGTCTCGGCCTTAGCTCACATTCTGTTGGGGGCGGATACGGAGTTAGGGCAGGTTGGTTGGGGTTCCTGTCTGAGAAATTCTAGCAGTGTTTTGAGTCCCTGGCTCCCCACAGCTGAGATCGCGGGCGTTACAGGATCCACGAGGATTGGGGGAAACTAGGAAAGTATTAGTCTTGCTGAATCAGTATCTGCTATTTTTCCTAAAGACTGTCCAGAGTTAACGGAAGTTGGTTAGGGCCTCTGTGTGAAAGACTTTAGCAGTGTTAGGCGTTACAGGATGCGCAAAGCGTTACTTGGGTGATTGTTTTGGCTGCTTCATTGATTGAGATAGATTTTGAAAGAGTTTGTTTTAATGAATTGATATTCAATACTTCACTAAGGAGTGTCCCTGTTTACATGAAATGCATAAGTAGGGATGCATGTGTCACAAAGTTGGATGTTTTTATCTAGGTGAACCAATGAAAAAAGTACTGGTTTGATGTGGTATTTTTTGGTTATTGATTGAGGCTTTGACCTTGCAGATTAGATTTTATCACAATTATCATGCCAATGAAATTCACTTTTGAAAAGCGACGTAATACGATTTTTGCATGGTTAAAAAACTGTCTACGTGTGTGCAAACTTGGATGCCAATAAATGTTATAGTTAGATGTTATTTCTGGTAGCTACCAGCTGTGGGAAAATATGTTCAACCCATCAATAGAGAGTAGATAATCTTGGGTCGATATCTTTTCAACTATAGTTGAAGGCAAAATGAAGAGTTAGATCAGTTGGTCTGTTTGTGTTTTATTGTCATTTCATGACATAGCGGGCTATGCTTTAGACATTTAATCAATATATTTCCTGTTTTGGACTTGTTATGCGTCCTCATATAAAATCAGCGCCAGGGCTCCGTAGATGTTCATGAAATTGCTGGTGTCATACTACATTCCACATGAATAGTGATTGTATACAGCCAGTTGCTACATTTTGCTGTATTCGTTGGCTTGGGATCCTTATATCATTGTTCTTGGCAACTCAAGTTATGTATCCCTACAAGACACAAGTTTTCTTCTTGCTTTGTGTTTTAGACTCCACATGATTAGTTTTTGTTTGTTCTGACGGTTGATTACAATTAAATGGACAAACTGGAAATATGGCAGGAAGCAATACATTTTGGATTGCCAGTGTCCAAGATCAAGTTTTAACAAGCTTAACAGTGCAAAATTAGTCCCTCGATAGCACTGGAATGTATGAACCGGTTACCAGTGCCTTAAAATCCAGAAATGTCATAACACAACACTACCATGCCATTTAAATATTGTAGGCCTGTAGCACTTATTAAGATGGATAAGTGTTGCCTGGATGTTTGGATAAATGTTGCCTGGAGGTTTGGTTGTCATAGAAGTTTTCTTGATCATGTTCTTTATGTGTGCTATGAGTAGGCTTAGGCTTTAGCCAATGCAAAAAATCAGATGTGTAAAAGTGTGATGATTTAGACTTTTTAGCCGATCACTATGTTTTGTGAAATAGATAGCGTGTCTTTCAGACCTCGCATGGTCTGTTTAATCCTTCTATGATGGATGCAGCCTAATAAAAATGAGCATAGGGGTTTACCTAATTTGTAGTTACTATTGAAGACATTAACTAGAAAGTGCATAAAGTACTATAGTTAACTTGTTCCTTTCATTATAGTTCATAGGCCAAAGTTGTACTTGGAAAACCAGCTGTCTGCTAATCTATTTTTAATTTTTGAGAATTGGGTTCAAATGTAACATGTCTCTTGCACATATTATAAGGTAGAAGTACTAATTGTGTATCAATGTAGTTCAGTGATCTGTATTGCACATTGCCTATACTTAGCAGATTTATTGTACTGTGGATACAACTTTATTTACATCTGACACAAATGTGATGAGCTGAAAAGTCTGGAAGTGAAGTAGTATAAATCAGCGAACAAGTTACTAGTTAATAACTTGTCATTCAGTGTGCTTTTAGGCAGTGTGGCTTTGAATAGTTGCACTGAGGGAGTGTTTGATTTCACTCTTCATCCTAAAACATCACTGTTTATCAGTTCGTACATTTTATTTAATGGTTATTTTATGTACTGTATTTCACTAGTGCATGCTCCTGGCCTTTATTTTTTTTACACATTTGCTAGTTTTTGTGTAATTGGTGTTTACTTGACTTGGAAACAATATTCTCATCTCAGGAGAAACAAAAAGAGAAGAAGCATAAGAAGGACAAGAAGGATAAAGATAGAAAAGAAGGTAAAGAAAAGAAGGATAAAGACAGGAGTAAGGATAAGCACAAAGACAAGAAAGATCGAAAAGAAAAACACAAAGACAAGAAAAAAGACAAGAGCAAAGATAAAAGCAGGGAATCAGGAGAAGGAATTGACAGAAATGACGAAGCTCTCCATGGTCAGAAGGTTGGAGAGAGCAGCAGGGGATCTGAAGAAATCAAGGATCTTAAATTCAGGGAGGACTTGGTCAGAAAAGTACAGGATGAGAAAGGGGCCGCGAGTCGACCTATTGAAAATTATGCTGTTTCAAATGATCGAAATCGCAAAGGCTTCAGTGCTTCACCCGCAATGGAGACTGAAAGGTCTGCACTTAATAAAGTGCATATTCAGCCTAGCAATGCTTCAAGGAAAAATGAGGGATTGGTACAACAGAGCACCAATGCCAATCAACAAAAGAATGGGGCATCAATACGGCATTCTGAAGGCTTCACCACTCTGCTCAAAGAACTGCCGGTGGTTTTCCACCGGCACCTACAACGGAGGAAAAATTCAAAGCTGCAAGGCCTTCATCCAGTACTGAAGCCGCACCCAGAAAAGAGGGGATTGGACAGCGAATCAGTAACATTAGCATATTGGTTCAAAAGAGAACTGAGAACACAAATAAAGATGTTGCGAAGAAAGAAGTTGGCACCTCCTCTCCATTGCCTCCAAATCCTGCTAATGCTATGCATAAGGGAAATGGCAAGGTTGGTAGGCCAATGGAGAACACACAAGCATCCATGCAGAGATTTGGCAGCCCATCGACGTCAAGTGCAGCAGGGGGATGGATAGAGGAACACCTAGGTCATCCATCCCAAGCCCGAGCATTACAATACGGAGGCCGAATGGAATGGTACGGCCGGCTGAAAACCTTTCTGTCTCTGCTAAGAAACCTGATGCAGGAGGCCTTTCTCCTGCTATGGGTAAGGAAAAGGAACAAGGTGGAAGGTTGCTGCAAGCTAATATTTCAACTGATCAGAAACTGGTTATGTCAAAACCTCCAGCTGTGGAGAAAGCTGCAGATGGAAGAGCAGAAAGGATGGAGAAGGTCAGAGATGGGGCACCTGATGTTGCTAAGAAAGAGGACAAAAAGAGTGATCGTCATGAGAAAAAGAAAAGGAAAGAGAAAGATAAACACAAAGAGAAGAAAAAGGAGAAAGAGGCAAAGAAGGAGAAAGGGGAACATAATCACAAAGAGCATGATAAGACAAGAGAGAACAATATAAGTTATCCGATAGATAGTCTTAACTTGAAGCCCTCAAAGCCCCTCCTTTAGCCCCACCAGTTGATGATGGAAAATCTGTTGTGCCTGATGAGAACCTGAAGAAGCGAAAGAATCATGAAACAAATGGTTACTTACAAAGTGAGTTCCTAGCTTTTCTTTTTTTTTTTGGCACTTAACAGCATGTCTAGTCTTGTACGACACCATTATCCTTTTTTATGGTGTTTTATATTATAAGACTTCTGATGCTATACAGACAACCTTGATATGCGGCCTACAAAGTTGCCGAGACCAGCCCTCCTCAGCAATCGTGTGGAGAATGGTACAGCATCTCATGTAGCCGCGCCACTCTTTTCTGTGAAGCCGGAAGCCATTAATATTGAAAAGGCTGAAAGGCTCCACAAGGAAGAGAAGGTCAATGGCAACCAACAGGCTCAGCGAGCTCCAGTCGATCCGGTGGCTGCTTATGAGAATGGCACAACTTCTAGGAAGTCACCTCACCCCGACTGCAGGTATCTTAGCCAGATATACAGCATTCCTGAAGCACCACAAATGATGGAATTGTCTGGGCAGGAAGGTGAGGACTGGCTGTTCGACCAAGGTGGCACCCAATCAAGGAAGCCCAGTTCAGCGCCCGAGGCTGATGGAGTCCCCCAAGTGTGGGCTCAGGCTCTGAAAATTGACCCTGCTGATGTCATTGCTTTACCATACGTGATACCCTTTTAGCTGAGTGACAATCCCCTGTGAAGTAGCTGAGAACTGAGACATCAATGAACAACACCACTCTGCTTATTTCCGCTAGCTCTTTGCTACAGTTTGTGTAGCTCAGCATGCGGGAATGTTCCCAACTTTTACAAGGTAGATGTTGCCATAGCTACATGCACCCTCCTAGGCTGGGGCGTGGCCCTGCTGAGTGCTGCGTGGAGTCACAAACAGTGTTGGTTGGCAAGAGGTTGGAATCTGTAACGGAGTGGTTAGGTGTTATCGCTGCACAATTTTGATCTGTAAGGTGTAATAGCATTTTTATAATACCAAAATGTACATTAGAGAGGGGGGGAGGGGCGAGGAGAGGGAAGACTTTGAGAATTGAGATTCTTCATTTATAGTAGTTGGATGGATTTGAGCTGCTGCTGCTGGCTGAGATAAATCTGGTTGTGCTTGATTTGTTCCAAAGGTTGGCACTTGACCCTCACCTTTCCTGTGTATATAACTCTAGCTTACTTACATAGATGCTGATGTGGTGGTACTTACCTGAGGTTTGTAATTTTACTCTGTCCGACGGCATTGATGTTGAGGTTCTGTCATAGTGTCGTGTCACCTCGTGTGTGCCACATTGCTGAGTTGTGATCAGAAGTGAAGACTGCTTGGGAGTTTTGAACTAGCAATAATAATAACAACATTTGACCCTTGGCATCTAGTGTTGGTTTTTTTGTTATTATACATGTTCGTGTTGATTGTTGTAAACTGTTTACATGGCTGGCTGTGTCATATGTGAACTGTGAGCATGATATGGTTTATTTACAAGGGGAACTGAATTGATGATTGGTCATGGAGGTGCACGTTGCAGCAGGATGAGGACTATCTAGTCCAGTCCAGTGGCACCCATCCAGCACGCTGCGCACGCACAGCAAGTGCAGCAGCAGCTAGCAGGCAGCCCATAGCTTCTGCTAGTTGGTGTCCTTTTTGTTTGCTCTTGGCTGTACCAGATGACGAAGCCCAGGAGCCCGTGAAGCCGAAGGAGAAGTTGGGGGCCCATAAGCCGCCTCAACTTGTGAACATTGTGTTGGGCTGACACCATAACCCGCAGGAGAATTTGGAAAGTATAAGATGAATAAAAATATGGATTTTTTTTTTGCAAGAAGAATAAATATGGACTTATGGAGTGCGCCTGCATCTAGTGATGAAGCTAGTGCAAATTAGGGTGTCTTTCTTTTATAGGTGTAAAAATTTGATCTACAACCATAGTAAAAATTTGTTCCTAATAGTGGTTTTTCAAATTATGTGGGTGCATGGGCACCCACAAGCTACAATGTAGCTTCGCTCCTGCTTGCATCAATAGCCATGAGAGAGATCTTCAACCCTAAACTCTCATCATTCAGGGCTCCTACTTCCAACCTACGCACAGTCACACACTGCAGACTGGTAATTGAACCAACCCTCTCCATTCTCCCAATTCTTCCTAACATGTGAACTCTAGTTGTGCCAGCGAAGTATGTATTTTGAATAGGTGAAGAGTTAGAATACCTACCTGGGTTTTGTAGGTTAAGGGGAGATGATGAAGCAGACAATGCCAAAGGTTAGGGGTTATATAGAACTAATTTCTTTATATGATTTCGTAGTAACATATGTACGTGATTTAGATGAAAATTAAGGGGTTCTTATGCCTTACTTTTATGGTAGATGTGGATAATTTTAAAACAAATTTATAGTAATCTAGTTATTTTAAATTATCTTTTATAATGAGTAACTTAATTTAATTTTAGAGGCTTATTTTAAGTTATATCTTCTATAATAACAATAGAGGTGCTAATTTAGATGCAAATGTAGATAAAATGGCAGAGCTGGCAAATAGAATAGATAAAATGTTTATCGGTAATGATGGTGAAGTGACCCCGATTTTCGCGAAGGAAATCCACAGTGTCGAAGTGTAATAAGACCGTTGTAGATCATATTACCCAAATTCTAGTCAAATATCACATCCATACAACGATAATATCAGAGTACAAATAGTGCGGAATTACATAAATTTATTACATCGCCGCATTGGCGGAATCAAAAGTAGCATTTATTCAGAATAGCTTGAAGATAAGATCGCCAAACTCGAGCGTAGGAACGAACCCCTCAACCGTCAAACTCCTCGGAGCTATACTCCTCAGCAGAACCTGTGTGCCAAAATTTATCAGTACGATTTATACTGGCCACTCCCACCCTATGAGCATTGCTTTGTGGAAATTGGATGTAAGTTGGATATAATCAAAAGGAACCTATAAGGCTGGGGTTTCCTATGTATTAGCATTTCAGGTATATATTATCAGTTGATCAAGTTTTAACACCATTCCCACACCCATTCCACCCCATTCCCATTCCAGAGCCAGGTTTCGATCCTAGGATCGATATACCACCATCTCCACACCATCACCATACCACTCCCATACCATCACTCAGTCGATAGGCCAACTCCCTCTCGGCACTGTCTCAAGGCCCGTAGCCCCTGGCTACGTCCGAACACTCACTCCCAGGGGGAGAAGAGAAGGACTCATCTCACTATCTAGTTTAAGCAAAACCTAGAAAAGGTCCATAGCCGATAAGTCGGCATATGTATCGATCGATCAACCATACACTCTGTAGAGGTTTTATATAACCACAAGATCCGCCTTCCTCGCTGACTGTCGTCAACTAGGCTGATTTCGGCCGCTTGCTAGCTTAGGATAATGCCACTCTACCATTCAGCCCTGGTACACCCCAAGTCCGGTCTGGGGTGGCTGAAACTGTGAGTCATGAACCGGGTCCACAAGGTCTCCATAAAGTCTCGAAAGGGTGTGGGGGGAATCCTCCGCACCCCGTACCTCCCTCACACTATCCGCTATCAACCTAGCAGTAGTGGCAATACCCTACCAAGTAGTCCGGCCGTCCCGCACCATATAGGGCGAGTGATACGTAAGGCTTCCCGATGAATCTGAGTACTAGTAAGTCCTTAGGGATGACCAAGCCAGAATGTCTTCATCAGGGTTTCCATTTACCGTGCCACCACAGCACCTCCACCCTAGGCTCCTCCCATCACAGGATCACACCCAGGGCCACCTCATATACCATTTACCCACCACAGGTATTCATTCCAGAGGTGCCCAGGTAGCACCCCACGGCAAGACATGCCCTAGGCTCGTCGTATACTCCAACTTGGTCGACACAACCCTCACCCTCCACGCACCCAAGTCACACACGCAACACTCTCCCCATAGTCCAGATAACACCAGTTTTCAACCACGCACCAATGTAGTGCAAGCGTAGTAGAAGTAATAAGCAATGAAATATAGTAGCAAGCGTGTGACTAGCCTAACAGCTGGGTGAGCACGGGCAAGGTTGCGTCAAGGTAAAGGCCATCAAGAAATCATACTACCATGCAAGTCCTATCATGGTGTGATCATAACAATAAAGTAAAGCACTGGCATTTCTATTTTATCCATGCGTAATAGGTGCTACGAGATTGGGTGGGATGTGGCACCTTCAGTGTAGTCGTCTCCGTACTCCTTACGGTTCTCACGATCCTCGTCCGTCCGCTTCTCCTCTGAGTCTGCAAACGATCGCATTATAGTCACGTTAGCGACGTCTATAGAATAGCACAAAGATGCAATGAAAATTCAAAAGAGCCAAATACACTCAAACATGGGTTCATTACGTAGAGTTTGATTTTAGATGAATTTTGGTCCTATTTTCGTATTTTTTGAGGTCACATGAATTAGTTATGAATTTCCAAAGATTAAATCCATTTCTGAAAATGAAAAAGGCTGAATTAATCCTGGGCTGACACGTGTCACTCTGTGACTGGTCCACGTGGCATGATGACGTCAGCATGACATCATCGTCTCGGTTCCGTGCTGACAGGTGGGGTCCAGCTGACGTCAGCATGACGTCAGCAACGTCATCAGTTCTGACAGGTGGGTCCAGGGGCTCTGGGGTCACTAACATGTGGGTTCGGTCAAAGTCAAAGTTAGTCAACGGCGAGTCAACGGTCTACGGTCAACGGTCAGGGTCACTAACGTGTGGGGCCTAGGGATGCTGATGTCATCGTGACGTCAGCATGACATCACCCTGGCTGTGTTGGCGTCTAACGTATGGGTCCCGCATGACGTCATCACGAGGTCAGCGTGATGTCACCTACTGACAAGTGGGTCCAGCGACTCGGTGTCGCTGACATATGGGGCCAGGTCAACGGTCAACATGGCCCGGGTCTCAAACGGACTCTGGTGGGCTCGGTTTGGGCCGGTCTGGGCCGGGCCGGACACGTGGCAGGCTATGACGCTGCCACGTCGTAGCCATGGGCCTCTACTGGGCTTCGTCCACAGCGCTGGCTCACGGTGCGTGGTTCATGGTGGACGCAGGTTCACGGTCCACGGACCTAAGACAGGGTCCATGGTGGACCGAGTCCTCCCTTCATCTCCTCCGTTGCGGTCTTCATGAACCGGGTGCATGCGCGTGTGTGGCCGGTGAGGATGAATCCTCTGCTTCCTCCCCGGCGTGCTTCCGTCGACGACGAGCGCCCGGTGAGCCTCCGTGGCGGCGCTGGTGTCCAATTGGGGAGGGGAAAAGCTCCCCTACACCATGGAGACTACGATGGTAGGGTCAGGGCATCGGCTAAGGATTCCTAAGGCCTTGGCCACGGTGATCGGTGGCTCGGCGGTGCTCGCCGGTGGCGAGGTCACGCGTGTGGGCTCCCTGGAGGCTCGGCGGGGCGGCTAAGAGCTTCTGTGGGTCCGTGGAAGCACGGTGAGGGCGTTCAGGGCTCAAGGCGGGGCTCGGGTTCTCCTGTGGCCGGTGGGGGCTCCCCAGAGGCCACGGTGACATGGTGACGATGGCGAGGCGCGCGGGTGAACTACAGGGCTCCAGCGGGGTGGTCACGGCATGGTCGCGGGTGTGCGCGTGGGTGCGTGTGTTCCCAAGGATCAAAGATGGCCCTGTCCTACGTGCTCCCGGTGTGGAGCGCCATGGCCAACAAGGTGAGGTCTGGT